AAAAAAAAAAAGGCGGACCATTTCTCGATTTGTGTGTCTCATGCTTGTGCAGGGGCTACTCTTGCTTTTCTTTCTTTTTTCTTTCTTTTTTTTTTTGGATCATTTCTCGATTTTTGTGTGTTATCCTTGCGCAGGGGCCATGCTAATCTTCTCTGTAAAGAAATGCTGCCACTTCGTTTTTCTCTTTTCTTTTCTTTTCTTTTCTTTTCTTTTCTTTTCTTTTCTTTTCTTTTCTTTTCTTTTCTTTTCTTTTCCTCCTTTGCTACGATGTTTCTTACTATCATCTTCACCCGAATCGAACAACACCCGGGCACTATCGATGCATCTGAACTGAAAGTTGCCCCAAATACAGCTATTCTGACCGGGTGTTCTATTCGGGTGAAGCCGGTGGGTGGCAGTGGGTGGAAAGGTGAAAGTGGAGTGCTGCTGAGAAAACGAATGCTACAATCTTGTAAGGAAAAGATAATAAAATTAAAAAATCAATTCCTTGAGAGATGCATAAAGGAAAGAGCAAAAAGCCCAAAGGCAACTGTTGCGCCTTTCGAGCAGCATTTATACGTATATTTACCGGGGCTTTTTGCTCTTTCCTTTATGCATCTCTAAAGGAATTGATTTTTTAATTTTATTTATCTTTTCCTTACAAGATTGCTCCTTTGTATTCATGGGGAGCTGCATGTGGTCGAAATCAGTTACAGCATCCTTGAAAAATGGAAATCAATACAGGGCCTCGCTGCACAACTCTTGAATCTTGAAAAATCAAGAGTTCATCACCGCTGCACTAACTCTTGATGCCGCGTCCTGGATTTCTATTCAAGAGCTGTCAGATTCACTCTCGAAAACGTTGAGAGTGAGTCATCGCTGCACTAACTGTGGAAAACTGCTCTTGGTCCGGCGCTTCAAGAGGTGTGAGAAATGGCCCATCGGACAAGCGCTTGAAGTTTCCACAGTTCCTGCCTGCAGGAGCTTTTTTTTTCAAACGAGGCCGACGGGTCCCTTCATGCGGTTTGCAAATTCGAGAGTTGGCCTGCGGTCTCGGTGGACAAATCGTCGCTGCCCTGTCGTGTAGTGTCTGTCCTACAGCCGAGAATGCTCACGAGAGTCGAGAGTCCGGAGTAAGTGCAGCGACAACAGCACTTGATGCCAATCGAGGAGTCTGACAGCACTAGACGAACTCTTGAAAATTTTCATGTTACGAATCCAGCGTAGTGCAGCGAGGCCCATAGTAATATTCCCCCCCTACGGTCCCCAGCGTTCCGGCCCAGGGAAGCCTGACAGCATTGATTGCTTCCCTCGGGGAGGATTGACTTTTTTTTTTTTTTTTTTTTTTAATAAAAAGCTCTCGTTCTGAAGTGATTCGTAATGGTGGTACGAGCACCCGTTCCTAGTCACTCCACCGCGACTCCAGCCTATTGGTGGGGAGTATCACGTGCTGCACTCATGAATTGGATTGGTTGTTTTTTGTTTGCAACTTTTTTTTTTTTTTTTTTTTTTTTTTGTTTGCAACTTTGCAATGCTTGTCAGATGTGAAGCCGGAGAATCTGCGGTCCGTTCTCGGAAAGAAGTATGCAGGCGTGGCACCAGATGTGCTCAAGTTCCGGACAGAATTTTACGATGACTTGCTGAGGTGAGCCATCGCATCTGGTCATTTCCTTCCTTGTCGCTTTCTGTTTGTCTGTTTATACTGACCTGCTTAACAAAGCCAGTTGCAGTGCAGTCAGTGAGAAAGAGAAGGCGACCAGTGGGCCTGGCGCAGTAGGTATACTACTATACACAGTATTACACACCCATGAACTCATGGGACACAGCCCCCGGCAGTTACGAATCCAGATGAGCAGAATAAAAAATAATTCAGAATTACCTGGGACCTGCCGATTCAATGATGATATCTCGAGGCCACTGCCCTTTAAAGAGCAAAAACAAATCTCAAGGCCATAGCCCTTCACCCAAAAAAAAAAAAAAAAAAAAAAAA